ATTTATACATATGAACTTATTTTCTTTTTCTTCTACAGTGTTTCCTTGCGTGAGCTATGTGAAAAGGAGGATGACAACGTGGTCTTAGCATTTGAACAACTGAGTGAAACCTTTGACCAAAAATTTAGTAAAATCTAAGAACAAGTTCTCCTCCATACTACTGTAAAATATTGCCTGCCATGGCTGTTCTTAAAATCATATTTTGTAATGATCATATATTGTAATGCCAGAACTACATGTAAGTCCCTATTAGGAATGAAAAGAGCAAGTATTTTGATGTAAAACAGCTCTGATCAAGACTGCCATTGCTTATCATGTATGCCCTTCGACAAAATACTTCTAAGTCTCCATTTCTTTATGTGGTTGATTAATAATGCTTTCTGCTCAGGTAGCTTGAGGATTTTTCTTTAAAATTCATGAAAGGGGATTTGCATAGACTAGTAAATCAATAAATGTTAGTTTTACTCTTTTGGCTACTTTGAAGTCGTTTACAGATGGATTCTAATTTCTAAGTGTAATGTTTTTAATTGTGTCTCTACCTTAGTGAGAACACACATTAGTACAAAACAATAAATTATATATATATATTGAAAGAGGAAGAAAAAGTAAGTCTGCAAGAGACACATCACTCTCTTTTATTAAAAGACTATGGGTTAGGGACACCCATGACATCAGTAATAACTTTATTCTGAGTCACCCAAATTTTCTTTTTATGTATGTCAATGATTATTAACACAACTTACTAATTCTTAGCAGCAATTAAGTATTTTATATGTGACTGAAGAACAGCTTTTCTTCTGTAAGGACTAAGCAAATATTCATAATATTTTTCTCCTCGGTGTCATAATTTTCAAAAGTTTGTTAAATAAGTGATTAAAGGAACCTAAAAGTGAAATATAATCATTTAAATGTGATTGTATGGCATATATAGCTATTAACTATGTTTAAATATAATTTTTAAAGTAAATGAACACTTTACAAATTCTGTAATGTTTTAAAAGAAAACTTATCATTGTTGATTTTATATGTGATAAATGACTGGGAAACTACTAAGAAATAAAATGAGTAAATTTAAGAATCAATCAATTGTTTATATACAATTGTTTTCTGTCACTCATCAGCGGAGTCCTGGTATGGTGCTGTAGGATAAGCACTGGACTACTGACCAGAAGGTCAGTGAGTCAAATCTACCAGCTACTCTTTGGAAGCACTATGCAGGGTTGCTATGAGCTGGAACTGACTCTACGGCACTTACCAGCATTCTATAAATTCTCAGAAACTTTAAAAGAAAACATATAACTGATGACTTTGTATCTAATAAATGATGGGAAAATATGAAGAAATACAATGAATAATTCTATGCATTGATCAATTGTTTATATACAATTGTTGTTCTTTCTTTATCTAACCCTTAGGTAACAATTCTAGAATCTATTTTAGACTCTAGATTTAATTATAGACTATCTTATTTTCAGACCAAACCTCCATAAATTTACAAACTTCAAAATACTGTAAAGCATCTTTTCAGACCACAATACCATAAAATTAGGAATCAACAATAAAATGACCAAAGAAACAAAGTTTAATACATGGAAACTGATTAACACCCTGCTGAAGAGCGGCTGGATAATAGAAGAAATTAAACGTGAATTCAGAAAGTTCCTCGAAACAAATGAGAATGAAAACACAGCATACCAAAATCTTTGGGACACGGCGAAAGCAGTGTTGAGAGGACAATTTATGGCGATAAATACACACATCCAAAAGGAAGAAAATCAAAATTAACACATTGATAAAATATCTCCAGCAACTAGAAACAGACCAACAGAGAGAACCTACAGTCACCAAGAGAAAAAAAAATAATAAAGACCAGAGCAGAAATCAGAAAAACTATAGAACGTATCAACAGGACAAGAAGCTAATTCTTTCAAAGCATTAATAAAATTGATAAACCATTGGCAAACCTAACAAAAGGAAAAGAGGGAGAAGACACAAATAACACGCATTAGAAACCAAATAGGCAATGTCACAACAGAACCAAAGAAAATCAAAAGGATAATAACAAAATACTATGAAGAGTTGTACTCCAATAAATTTGAAAACTTAGAAGAGATGGATACATTTTTAGAAAAACACAACCTACTTAAATGCACAGACTGAAGTTGAAGACTTGAACAAACCCATTACAATAGAAGAAATTGATCAGGTCATCAAAAAATTCCCAACAAAAAGAAATCAAGGTCCAGATGGCTTCACTGGTGAGTTCTACCAAACATTCAGGGTATGTCTTGAAGAGTTGTCACCAGTTCAACTCTAATTATTCCAGAATATAGAGGAGGATGGGAAACTTCCTATACATTTTATGAAGCAAGCATAACCCTCATACCAAAACCAGGGAAGGACATCACTAAGAAAGAAAATTGTAGACCAATATCCCTCATAAGCATAGGTGCAAAAATGCTCAACAAAATCCTAGCCAACAGAATGCAACAGTACATCAAAAAAAATAATACATCATGACCAAGTGGGATTCATATCAGGGATGCAATGATGGTTCAACATTAGACATACAATCAGTGTAATTCACCATATAAATAAGAAAAAAAGGGGGGGGGGAACCACATGATTATATCAATTGATGCAGAAAAGGCATTTGACAAAATCCAACATCCATTCCTGATAAAAACACTCAACAAAGTAAGAATTGAAGGGAAATTCATCAGCATATTCAAGAGCATATATACAAAACCAAAAGTCTATATTACTCTCAATGAGAAAAACTGAAAGCCTTCCCTCTGAAAGCAAGAACCAGACAAGGATGCCCTTAGTCACCAATCCTATTCAATATTGTTTTGGAAATCTTAGCCAGAGCTATACGGCAAGATAGGGAAATCAAGGGCATCCAAATTGGCAAAGAGAAAGTAAAACTCTCTCTATTTGCATACAGTATTGTCTGATATATAGAAGACCCCAAAGACTCAGTAAAAAGCTACTAGACTTCATGGAGGATTCAGCAAAGTGGCAGGGTATAAGGTCAACATCCAAAAATCAGTTGCCTTCCTCTATACCAATATCGACAGTGCTGAAAAGGACATTAGGAAAACAATACCATTTACAATAACCACCCAAAGGATGAAATATCTAGGAATAAATGTAACCAGAGAAAAAAAGGACCTATACAAAGAAAACTACAAATACTCTATAAGAAACCAAAAGAGACATACAAAAATGGAAGAATAAACCATGCTCCTGGATAGGAAGACTTAACATTGTGAAAATGTCAATACTGCCCAAAGCAATTTACACATATAATGCAATCCCAATCCAGATTCCAACGACATTCTTCAAAGAGATGGAAAAAACAATTACAAACTTTATATGGAAAGGAAAGAGCCCAAGGATAAGCAAAGCACTGCTTAAGAAGAAGAGCAGAATGGAAAACCTCTCACTCCCTGATTTTAAAATTTACTACATGGCTACAGTGGTCAAAACAGCCTGGTACTGGTATATGAATGATACATTGACCAAAGGAACAGAATTGAAGATGCAGAAATTAACCCATCCACATATAGCCATCTGATTTTTGACAAAGTACCTAAGTATATTTCATGGGGAGGAGACGGTGTCTTCAACAGATGGTGTTGGCAGAACTGGAAAGTGATATGCAAAAGACTGAAACAAGACCTTTATCTCACGCCTTATACAAAACCTAACTCAGCATGGATTAAAGACCTAAATGTGAATCCCAGAATTACAAAAGTCATCATTGACTGAATATGGAAAAATATGAGAACCCTAATACAGGGCATACACAGACTACCAAACATTTTGAAATTTACACAAATAAAAATAGACAAAATAGATCAATGGTTATTGTTGTTGTTAAGTGCCATAGAGTCGGTTCCGACCAATAGCGACCCTGTACAGGGTACATACTAAAAATTAAAACCTTGTGTGTATCAAAAGATTTCATCAAAAGAGTAAAAAGGGAGCCCACAGAATGGGAAAAAAAAATATTTTGCAATGGCACATCAAACAAGGGACTAATTTCCAAAATATATAGGAACCTAAAACACCTCTACAAGAAAAAGACAAATAACTCAATTTAAAAAATGGGCACAGGACAAGAATAGACACTTCACCAAGGAGGAATCTGGGCAGCCAACAAACATGAAGAAATGTTCACAATCACTAGCCATGTAAGAGATGCAAATAAAAACAGCAATGAGATATCATCTCACACCAGCAATAATAGCAAAGATTTAAAAAGTAGAGGACAATAAAGTGCTGGTGAGGCTATGGAGAGACTGGGATCCTACTACATTGCTGGTGGGATTGCAAAATGGTCCAACCACTATGGAAAACAATATGGTGCATCCTCAGAAGGTTGGAAATAGAGATACCTTATGATCCAGCAATTCCTCTACTTGATATTTATCCACAAGAAATATGAGGCATAATGTGAGTAGATATAGGCTCACCAATGTTCATGTTGTTGTTGTTAAGTACCGTGGAGTCGGTTCTGACTCATAGTGACCCTACACAGGGTTTTCGAGGCTGTAAACCTTTATGGGAGCAGAATGCTGACCTTGTGGTTCACAGTCCAATTCGTAACCACTACGCTACCAGAGCTCCTTCACCAATGTTCATAGCAGCACTATTTACAATAGCAAAAAGATGGAGCTAGCCTTAGTGTCCATCTATGGAAGAATGGATAAAAAAACTTTGGTACATACACACAATGGAATAGTATGCTACCCTGAAAAATAACAAGGAAGCAGCAAGCCACCACATAACATGGATGAACCTTGAGGACATTATGCTGAGTGAAATCAGTCAGTCACAAAAGGAGAAATATGGCATAGAGCCATTATTGTAAAAGATTAAGAAAAAACACCCACACAGAAAGGGGGAAATTATCTTTATTATTATTATCTTTTTTGTTGTTTTTGTTGGTAACCGGGGTGGTGGTGGTGGGGTAAAGGGGAGGGAGGGGAAGGTGGAGCACAGGATAAGGAATAGGCACAGGATAGTGGAACACAGGGTATGGAATAGACACAGGATAGTTTGGTGCTGGGGTGGGGCAATACACTAGACGGGGAAGGGAAAAGGTAAAATAAAGTGGATGGGAGAATAGC